TACCTTTGATGCAATATTTTGGAAGGATTTGAGTAAAGACTCATCAAGCAATTCCAATCAACAAAAAAACCATTGATTTAAGGTAGAAAATCATTCAAATGGGATGAAAATGGATGAAAACGTGATTGAGGGGGAAATGAAGAAGAAGAAGACTTCAAATAGACCCATCTTTGGTCACTTAAGCAACTTTAGTCCTTCCTTGAAAAAACCTATTCAAAATTACTCCAAACTAACCAAGGAACCACCAATAACTTTCCAAAATTGTCCCTTTCCATCCTAACCTCTACAAACTAAGTCCAAGTCACTAAGTTGGTCAACTCGCAAGTCAAACCTAAGTTTCACCTGTTTGACACAAATGACCCTTTTAATCGAAATACTTTGCTAGACATTTAAATTTTATTATTTTACAAATACCAACTAATGAAAAGATTTTTTTTATTGTTTCCTCGTATTGCCATTATTTAATTTATTTCACTTCGATTTATTTTATTTCAAATTAAAGAAAGCTTATTATTTTACCAAAAAACCTAAAACTTTTAGCCTCAAAAACAGGATGTTACAAGATTGACTGTTTTGTTGAAGTGGGTGGCGATGGTGTGACAGAGTTGACGACTCCGACAACTCTGGTGGTGGTTCAGACGACAACTCCAGTGGTAGAGAGGAAGGAAGACTGACCGATGGAGGAGAGTAAGAAGGAAGCGGTTGATTAGGTTTGTCTTTGTGGTTTGGGTGGGCCCAAGACATTTAATATTAATATAAAAAGTAACATTAATAATTAAAAGAGTTTAAGAAAATATAGAAAGGGTAAAATAATCTTTTGGGAAATCTCCAATAAATTCCTAATATTTTGGACCAGTTTACGGTTTAACCCAACATTTTTTTTAAAAAAATTCCGATTATCTAAATTTATACGATAATATGTCATTTTCCTGTTGAAAAAAATAAGAATTGTTTCATTAATTTGGACAAAATATAAAATAATCGTGATTTTTTTTTTCAAAAAATAAAAGATGAGATTAAACCATAAACTAACACAAAATATTGAGACTTTATTGGAGATCTCCATAGTCATTTTACGTAATACATGGACGAGAAACGTAACAAAATCATATCATAGGAATGATCCGAATGCAAAAAATACGGACTAAACACACAATTTTGTCATACCATAGGGACTATTTCAATAATTTACTTTTTTCAATACCCTTAAATTCAATATGTAAAAATGTAGCCTCTTTCAATATATATATATATATATATATATATATATATATATATATATATATATATATATCTATATATATATATATATATAGAGAGAGAGAGAGAGAGAGAGAGAGAGAGAGAGAGAGAGATAGGTTCAAATGTTTTTGACAACTATTGTGTGCATAAATGCACCAATAGGAATTCAGGAAAAAATTAATTCTTAAATAATCAAGATAAGGCTAGATATGTAATTTTGCATATAAATTAAATAATAACCAAAATTTAATCCCTTGATTCATGGATCAAATCCCTTAAATTAGACCACCGATTCCCCCTTTTCTCTAAAAATCATCGTCTACACCCGCCGAATCACTACCAACTTCTCCTCTATCGTCGTCTCTGTATACAAACATCTACACGTCTCACACGCACAAGCAAGAGCCTCTATGATGGAATCCCTCTCCTCCGTATCTGCCTCAATCGTCTTACATCCAGGAACCCCCTTCCACCACCACCACCACCGCCGGAGAATCCATCTACGTTACTCCTCCTTTTACACCTCATGCCTTCATCCTGATCACCGCCATCCTTCCCGATATCCCTCAACCTTCGTGACCCCTTCAAACCCTAAACTAAAATCGTATGGAAGCAGAGTCGATGGTATGGTGTGTAAATTGAACGTTGTAGGAAATCGAGGAGAAAGTAAAGGGGAAGATGAAGGAGAAGAGGATGCGTCGTCATTTCCAACAAACATTTGATTGCAGCAGTTATGATGGTATAATTTATCTCCGATCACTATTTTTTCGATTATAAATCTGAATTTTTTCATTAAATATTATGATTAGTTTTTTTTTTTTTTTTTTTTATCTTTTTCTGTACGAATCGATCATATTTGCTTGTTTTCATTGATCTGTCAAGTAATTGAAACTCACTCCTCCACAGATTCAGATTAGATTAAAAACTAGGATCTTCAAGGTGCCTTCTATGCATTTGACTTACTCGTTATTCTGATGTATTGATTCAGTGCTGGAAGCCAATCCAGTTGGTGGTCTTGCTTATTATGTTACTGCACCTTCTCAAGGTAATGACTGACTCCATTCCATATTTCCATTCCATTCACATTCCTTGATTTGTGATGATTTATTGTTATTCTGATGTATTGATTTGGAATACAATTCTAGGTTGTTTGTGCCTTTTTATTTTTCATCAACACAAATTAATTTACTCTTTGAACCTTGTGGTATGCATTCTAAATCAAATATGTTGCTGGAAATTATGTTTATAGGTAAACTATTGCAAGTAAATCAAATATGTTTTTTTGGCTTGTTTGATGATAATGTGTAACAAGTGTTTGTTGAAATGCCTGAAAGAGAATTTAAAGAATTTAACCTTGTGGTATGCATTCTGTCAGAATTACTAGCAACACATGTTTTATGTAATTGTTTAAAAAGATAATTAATTTGTCTGTGTATTATTTTGGTTCAATTTGTGATTTTGAATTCCAATTTCTATTGTCCCTCGTTATTGTATATTTGAAATCTAAAATTATATTAGCAGTAAATACAATACCTTTGAATGTATTCTATATATTCTATCAGAATGTATTCTACCAGAATAAAATCGATGTATTCTGCCAGAATGTATTATATGTATTCTGTCATATTCTATGTATTCTACCAGAATATATGAAGTGATAGTTAATTGCAAGTAACATGTTTTTAAAAATTATTAGTTTTTGTTGTATTTGTGATAGGAATGGCTGGAAGAAGGCGTTGAAGACCTTGATATTCTTTTAGAATATGTATAATTATATTAAAATGTATAAAGATTTTAGTCTATAAGAATATGTATGAATTTGTATTTAAGTTCGGATGTATAAGAATATATTAGAATGTTTGTTATTTTTCAACATCTGATTCAAAAATTTTGTTATTCTTCAATAATATTCTATTAGAATAAAATTCTGAAAGAGCATCATTCTAACAAAATAATATTCTATTAGCCCATGTTTTTTATCGAAATCTCACCACTTTACAAAAAAATTCACCACTTTTTTTCGTTTAAATTTTATTTAGGCCATGTTTTTTATCGAAAAAAAAAACGAATATACCGTTGTTTACGATTTTTCGTCATCTTTCCGTAGAGATCCATGATGATATATAAAAAACGATTTTTTTTTTCGAAAAAAACTCACTTCATTTTCTTTGATGAAAAAAGTTAAGGTCTATTTTTTTATAGAAAAAAATTAATAAATATATCAAAATTCATATTTTTTGTACTTTTTAAACATAGATTCATATTCATGTTAAAAAAAAAAACCGATATTTCAGTTCAAATTTACATTTTGAACATGTTCAGATTCATATTGTAAATCTGTTCAGATTCACATTGTGAACCTCCTTAGATTCACAGTGTGCATAATAATAAGTCAGACTCACAGTGTGAATCTGAACTGATCGGAGCTTTTTCACATTGTGAATGTTAAAATTTGAAATATTTACAGTTTAGATTCACAGTGTGAATTTATACTGATCGAGGTTTTTTTTTTTTGTGAACCTTCTCAGATTCACAGTGTGCATAATAATAATTCAGATTCACAATGTGAATCTGAACTGTTCGAGATTTTTCATATTGTGATTGTTAAAAATTGAAATATTTACAGTTTAGATTCACAGTGTGAATCTACACTGTTCGAGATTTTTATTTTTATTTTTTAATTGGTGTTGATGTTTATTAATAGAGTACAAAAAATTAATATTTTTGGTATAATTAGTTTTTTTATAAAAATAAACTAAAATATTGAAAAACTAAGAAAATTAAGTGGGTTTTTTCGAAAAAAAAAGTTCGTTTTTTATATATAATCATGGATCTCTATGGAAAGAGGACGAAAAATCGTGAACAACGGTATATTCGGTTTTTTTTTCAATAAAAAACTTTGCCTAAAAAAAATTTAAAATGAAAAAAAAGAAGTGGGTTTTGTTATAATCCGGTACATGTGCGTCAATTATAAAAGTTTACACCCTTACTTTTGCCGTTGATCGCTTTAAATTCCGACGTTTTGGATTGATTCATTGGTTTCTTGATTAATAATGGTTCTCTATTGAATTTATATATATATATATATATATATCTATATATATATATATATATATATATATATATATATATATATATATATATATATAATGTTTTTTCAAAAATTATTTAGTTCCATGTTATTTAGTATCAATAAGTTTTTAGAAAGGTAGTTCACTTTAATGGCAATATATCATGTGAAATTATTTTCAAGTATTTAATAACCTATGCAGTGAAGAGGTTTTTTTAGTATGAAGAAATAACAAAATACGGCTATTTTCTCTTCCACCCCACCTTTTTAACTAAAAACTCGGCAAAAAACAAGCAAGAACTTGCGTTGAATTTCCTCTTCAAATCATCATTTTTTCCAACCAATCACATGAAACTACATCCACACATTAAAGACAATTAAGTAAACAGACAATGAACATTTTGAGATGTATTCCAAAAATTGAGATATAGACAGACATACAGAAAAATCACCAAATCAAGATGTTCTTGATTATCATATTTATATTTAGCAAGTTTAAAAAGATATGGAATAAACGATCATCAATGCACATAAAAACCAAGTGTTTTGACTTCAATCAAAACCCTAAAAATACCATTCCATTGTTAAAATAAAATCAGATATATTGTTTGAATCTACTACTACAACATAGATCTCTAGAAACGAAGGAAATAACTACATAAGCATATATCAATGGAGTAAGCGCTAATTAGTAATTACATACGTTTATTACCACCACCAGGAACGTCAATCCAACTCAATTTTATTTCAATTTCACCACTTTCAACATTTCGTAATCTAAGAACTATGTTTTGGACAACTCTTCCATCTGTCCATGTTATGTAGCTTTCTTCAGCCAAGCAATTGGTCCTCGTTGGTTTCACAGTTGTGATGATCGTGTTGTTTAAGATATCAGAATTCAAACGCATCCTCACAGCTTCAAAGAATGGAGTGAAGTCGAATTCTGCATCCCCCATTCTATCATCGGCTGAAAATAGATCCCTATCGTATACTTCCTGTATCAACAATAATGTTTCAAAATCTGAAATCAATTTGATGATAATTTAGGGGAAGAGAATCAAGAAATTGAAGAACAGCTTACGAGTTTAACGGGAAGAGGCTCTACAATCGAGAGAGTTAAATCTTCATCCCACACAGGATTTAGGTTTTTTTTCATCACTCGAGTCTTCAATTTCTGTACAAAAATTAGGGAAAAGTTATTTAATTACCAGAATTCTTTTTATTGTTTTTCATCGGCGTCACACCGGGATTATTTTCCGGCCGTTGTTTCGTATTACATTGGGCGGAAATAACAAAGTATACGATCGTAATCAACTCTACACCAACACCGGCTTCCACCATCAGCCACCGCACAACCACCACCATTTTCTTAGTAGATTCAACACCTCGGCGGAAGAAGTCGATGAAAATTTCGACAACGCAACAAACTTCCGAAGTTTCCGCAAGTTTCATTGATCATCCAGCAATTAATACTAGAAAGTAGAATCTCTCCACGAGGAAAGGGAATGAAGAAAAAAATTAATTAAAGTTCACTCACCTGTTTTCCCATTCGGATGATAACGTAAGGATCGCTGCTACGTAGATCTCGAATTGCAAGGTTTACACCTTTGTGGATATGAACTCTGAGCAAACCCAACAAGGAATCCGACGACATATGATAATGATGTGCTTGAAATCAGTAAACCAGCTAATCAGTGAAATTAACCTGCGAATGCAAGCTTGAACTTCTGTATTTGACAAAAGAGAGACAAAGGGGTTGAGTATTTCAACGCGGAGTTGAGGTTTATATATATATTGGTTTCCTGGTCTGAAGTCTCGGCTACCAAACTTAAACCTCTAGTTGGAACCCATATAGAAGGAGACACGGTGCTGATTGGTGGGTTCAAATTAATTATTTATTATTTAATTATAAAAATAATAATAAATCGTATCATCTCAACCGTTCATTTTCAACCTGTCACACCGGTTTACCATCTCAACCGTTCATTCTGAACATCTCAAAAGGACACTTGCATAACATTGAACATTTATTTTGAATGTATCAGCCTATTCTATAACACCTGTTCAGATTTTGAATGTGTTAGGATTTAAACTTTATATAGTATTTTAATCACCGAACTCTTGTTAAGAAAATTTATTTAATTATTTGTTACTAACAAACGGGTAAATGCTTATTGTGTGGGCCACACAATAAACTCAGACCAGATGTTGGGTACCATCTTCATCAAAATATTGTGAAATTCTTTCTTTTCCTTAATCTTATAATTTCTTTGAAATATTGTGAAATTCTCTCTCTTATTTATATATATATATATATATATATATATATATATATTCTTTAATTTACTTATCGAGACTTAAAGGCTCTATCTCAAAGAGAAAAAACAACACATGAAGGCTCTATCTCAAAGAGAAAAAACAACACATAATACCATTAGTCTAGAAACATTTTTATATTAAATAAACATATTATATATATATATATATATATATATATATATATATATATATATATATATATATATGTTTTTTAATATAAAAAATTAAATTAAATTTATATCTGAAAAGTATTATTATTACCTTTAACTGTAGTACTTGTTAGCTACTTAGCGAGCAATAGAATAATGTAAAATTGGAAATTTATCATAAAATATTAATTTCTTCAACAACTTCAAAATAATTTATTTTAAGGATAAAGTGAATATCTTTTGTAAGAGGAAGATATGGTTTATGCAAAATGATTATTAATCGTATCTTATAGAATTTTGTATTGTTGGTTGCTGCCCTCCCTCCCAACCTTTCAACAGGAAAAACATTAAAGAACATATAAAAAGAGATTCCTATTACTTTATATATATATATATATATATATATATATATATATATATATATATATATATATATATATATATATAGTTTTCAGTTCGAACCAAAGTATTATAGTTCTTCATTATGGAGTTTTTAACTTGACCATGGTATATATGAAAAATATTTACCGATTACTAGTAGTTTGAAAAGTAATTATCAAAGAATGGCAGATTAATTATTAGTCCTATTTTTATATTCATAAATAAATAAATAAATTAAAGTGGATTCTATCGGTACCCTTTCTTCTCTTTTTTTAGTTGGAGCTACCATTTTTGCCACTAAAGTGGAGCCCCTTCTTCATGTGAAATAACACATGCTTCTAACTAGCTATCTCTTCTGGGAAGAGGGTTTGTTGCACAATTGAAATCATTCAAGTAAATGGGTTTATCTCATTATAACTTAATTTCTGGTAATCTCTCGGATTAGAAATCATTCGAGCATCTTAGGCTAATTCATTTTTAGATACCTTACTTGCTTCATCAGTTGATTGCCATCATCAATGGAGTGGCTTTTGTTTCTCACTTTAGCCGAAAACTTGCTTGAAGCGGGAGTTCCCACTTCAATTTATTCTCTACAATTAACAATCATCGCCTGGTAACCTGTCATTCAATCGTTTCATCTACATGAATTCTCCAAGATTCGTGTTTTATAAAAGTATACAGTCCTTATTGCCATCAAGTAAGACGGTACAACCATTATGTCGTTTCTCTCTCTAGGCGAGTTTGCTTTCAACTGGGTTTTCTGACGATCTTCCGGTGGTGAGTGGTGGAGGAGTGTTGGTGCAATGGTGCAATGGATTCAGAGCTTCTTACAACGATTCCACTACATTCTTAAGCGGGATTGTTGGCTACATTTAAGATTGATAAATGGATGGAACGACAAGAAAAATTCCAATTAACAAATTATGGAAGATGGCGTACACACAAAGGCCATAACAGGAGGTCAGTTAGATCCCAGCCCAGTAAAATGAATATTTCCATGGAAACTCTTCTAGAGAAGAAGTCCATCCTTTAAGAATCTTTTTGTGCCTAAGGATATTGTTAATGGTTTTTGATAGGTTTAATTGGCAATACTGGTAATTCAAGAAATGGTGAGGAATGGAGATTGCATAAGGATAATGCCAGTAATTTAAGAAACAATGGCTCAAACATGTAAAATTTGTTCATATTAAAGAGATGGGTAGAAAATAGAAATCGGAAAAAAAGTTTGGTGGCCCGTGGACGAGGGGAGGGATGGAAAAGATGTCGGAGATGACACGGTGTTAGTCGTTGGTAGAATTCACTGTTGTGTGACGTGTTTTCGATTTTTCTTTTAATAAAAAAGGGTTTATAATTGTATTAACTTTGTTTTGGTAATTACTTTTTCAAACACTATGTTTAGGTAAATAAATTTTGTAACTACTATGCTTAAGTTAAAAACTCCTTCATTATGCGGGGATGGGATTTTTTATTTATTTATAATTTTCTATTAAAATATTTAAGCACCTAATTAAAAAAATATACAATTCGAAGAAGAGATAATTGCATCAATTAATTTTTATATTAGCTCCATTATTGGTTTGAACACAATTCCCTCCTTCTCTCAAATATTCCATCAATTTGAATAAATACCATTTGTTTTATTTTTAATGTATAATGATTATTAAATGTCAAAACTAGTTTTTGATAAAAATAAATTTAAAATAACTTATGTATGGTAGTTAATTTATAAAACGTTTTTATGAAAAAATAGAAATTCATAGGAGGATCTTTGTAACAAAAGAAAATATTACACTTTTTAACAACTCAAAAAAAGTAAAAATATTTTCTAGTTCAAGTTGACAATTAAGCACTATTACACTTATACGAGGTACACAATGTAATTGGGGTACATATAGAATTTTCCTTTTTTAAGAACAACTTTTTAAATTTTAATATTTTTTGGTAACGATTATTATTAGATATCTTTTTGAGATCTACATCCTCTAATAAATGAAACCTAAAAATGACACGTGTCAGTTTTTTTTAATGTCTCTTTGAACATTTTTTCTATGATTTTTATTATTATTTTTTTTGTAACAAATCAAATTCAATTCAAATTTTGAAAATATAATAACATTATTATGTTATTTTGTTTAACAAATTAATTCATAATTACTTACAATCCACAATATCTTCGTTTTTTTTATATTTATTATTTTTTTATCTATATAAAAATTTTAAATATATCAATCGCGGTTTCCACGGGTTATAACCTAGTTTGATTAATAAGCATCTTTTTCTTTTCTTTTAACTTTTTTTTTCCCGAAGCACATCAACCGTATGCCATCCAATACCCATCACCGATTCAAGAGGGAAAGAGCACCTCCATTTTTCACGTTGTTTACTGTTGACTGTTGTCTCTGTTTGAAGGGCCCAACATTGGGCAAATTATGGGCCATAATGTTATGGTTAGGCTTTTTTATCCAGACCTAAATACACCCATCTGGTGCAACCGTGCAAGTGTAATTCATTCAGCCATCAAACATTATTTATAGTCTCCTAAGTAACATCTGATAATATTTAATCCATGAACTTTCAACTTTTGTCATTGTTTTGGTTATTTTATTATTATTATTATTAGGAGTATATTCTTATTAAATTTGACGTCAAACCAAAATGAAATAGTTGATAGGTTGGGGAACAAAATGGAATGATAAACCAACAATTACAAATTTTTGGTGATTTTAGAGTTTTCAAACATTTTAGATATGAGAAAATTACAAATATACTACTTAATAATATGAAATTTAAGAAAATGACCCAACTTTTGAGCATTAACAATTTGACCAACATTTCTAAGATGGAACAATTTTATTTCGAACTAACTTTATGTTACATCAAAACTAAATGTCAGAAAAAAAATACATCTAGCTTCAGATTTCGGATTTTGGACTGAACATTTATATTTATTCCCACAAGTTTAAGCTCTTTGGTAGCACACATGTCTCCCTTTTTGTTGCACCGACAAAGTTTGCTTGCATGACTGCATGAGGTTTACCCTCGTTATCCAAAAAAACTATCTTATTCTTTCTAGCTAATTAATGTCGCCATCCTAATACGAATTAACTATCCAATATTCAGTTATCACTCACATTAAAAATTACATTTCTCCACTTAGGACTTTCATTGTATACCATTTGGTTGAAGACTTAAGCGATTCCATCAAAGATTATATATGGTTATTTTAGAGTAACTAAGACATAGTGTTAAGCAAAGCTATCTTATACTGCAGTTTGTGTTCTATAGGAAAAGTGTCATTACTGATTACGAATATAGGAAAAGTGTCGTTACACATTCGATGAGAATGACGAGAATGTTGACTAATATAGTTGTTCTTAGAAAAATAAGATTGATCCAACATGAGTTATAGAACTAAATTTGTATGCATATTCTGTTAACTTGTATGAAAATGAACACAGTATTGATAGAATTAAAATCTTCCATTGATTAGGACTTTACAAGTTTACAAAAGAACTAATATATACAGCTTACTAAACAAGCTAACTACCTGTACATTAAATTACAGAAATGCCCTTGTCACTAACAAACTTAACTGAATGAAGTAAATTGACACCCCCTCCCCCTCAAGCTGGTGGATACGGAAGAAGCCCAAGCTTGGACATTGCTAATTGATGTTGTGGACCATACAATGGTTTAGTAAAAACATCAGCTAACTGATCTTGAGTTTTCACATGAGACAAAAATATTAGTCGAACTTGTAATTTTTCCCTTACAAAGTGACAATCCAATTCAATATACTTTGTACGCTCATGATATACAGGATTAGTGGCAATGTAGATAGCAGCTTGGTTATCACACTTCAAAGGTATTGTAACAACCCAATTTTCACGCCCAAAATTTTCATTTTTAAATCAATACTTTGGAAAACATTTGTGAATAAACATCATCCGATCATATCATTTCATAAAAACATATCTCGTGTCTGAAAGCCAAATCTTAAAAATATAATAATGTCAGAGTACAATCCCAGAACATCTCATAATGCAGAAAACCAATGTGTGTGTGTATGATGTGCCGCTACCGCGCCAGCTCTTTCCCCTTCGCTGAAGAGGTACCTGAAAACAAAACTGTAAACCGTAAGCACAAAGCTTAGTGAGTTCCCCCATCGTCCACATACCATACAATCATATAGCATACATACTGCCAGGCATTTCTGG